AAGTGTCATATTCTACATTAATTATAAAATTATAATATCCGAATGTATTTAGCTTATTTTGTTTAATTTTGTGCTGCACTTCAGCCAACATTTGTTGACTTGGCATAGGGTTTGGCACACACGCCATAAGAGTGTTTAAGAGATTTTACAAAAAGGTCAGATTTAATGATTAGACTGGTTTAATAGCAGTTCACAAGTCTAAACAGTATGCATGTAAGTCTAATACGTTTGATGCCAAAAGTAAGAGTTCCTACTGCTTTACATGAAAGCCTGAGCTACTGCAGCCAGGTGCAAACATTTATTAGTTTAAAGCTAACTCTGAAATCAGACTATTGTTCAAAGCAAATGCAGGTGGGCAAATTATGACAAAGAAAAGATTTTGACTGAAATTACTAAAATTAACATAATTGATGCACTTAGAGGTTTTTCATCAGGAAAGCTTTAATATAGGATGGCTCATATCATATTTTTAAAATGGGCCTCCTGCAGAGTTATGCCATATTATGCTAGTATGCACCACATACTAGCACATTATGACAGACTTATCTTTCAAACAGAGCCCTTTAGTTTTGATTTGTCACAGCTCCCGGCAAATCCTTCTTTGCCAGGTGGGTTCGTGCTTGCCGACCATTTGAATGCCCAGACCTCAAGATGTCCACTCCTGTGCATGGGAGTCACCATCGTGGCATGGTGCTCTGCAATCACAGCACACACATCTTCAACTGGTGTCAATGTGAATATTTACTATTTTCATGTGAATATTTACAAGTTTAGGAGCTATTCACAGTACCTACATGTAAGACTTATTATAAACTTACTTGTAGGGAAAGGTTTATAAACTTAGGATTTAATGCCACTTTAAACTGTACTTGTATTATACTTGTATGGCAGGGGTGTCCAAACTTTTTTCAAAGAGGGCCAGATTGGATGAAGTGAACATGGTGGAGGGCCGAACATTTTTCCGAACATTCTTTGAACCATTACAATTAAATGCAAATAAATTATTTTTATGCCAAGTTAATTGCAAACGACATACTTTTCATTTCATAACATTAAGATCAACTGACAGCTGAGTTTTCAGAATGTATTGAAAATAAATTTAAAAAAACACTTACCTGCACTAATGTGAAGGGTGAAAAAGGTAGCTGGAGCTGGAGTCTCTGCTCGGCAGCCGCGGGAGGGAAGAGAAACACACACTTCACGCTGCAAGCCCGGCCCTGACGTCACCGCCCTCTGTCGCTCCCAGCGCGGCGCAGTCACGCATGTGCACTGCTCTCAAGCAGAAGACTGTCTGCCACAGAAGGGAGGGCCGTGCGACAGCCGCATTTACACAGACCAGGGAGAACGTGCCCGCAGTCAGGCATATGCACTGCCCTCTGCTCTCAAGCAGAAAGACTGTCTGCCATAGAAGGGAGGGCCACATTACACAGAGCAGAGAGGGCTGTTGGAGGGCCGTATTAAACCGACCCCCGGGCCGTAAATGGCCCACGGGCCGGACTTTGGACATGCCTGTTGTATAGTGTCTTTATAATTTCAGGTCTGAACAGGATATCCTGATAACATTAAAGTGGTTTTAAAGTCAAGCAGTTTTTTACCTCAGTGCATTCTACTTTTTTGTTTGAAGGGAGCATAGGTTCATTGTTCTGTCAAGCTTCAGTTAAAGGACAAGTACAGCCAAAGCTCTTTTGGGTGTACTTCTCATGTGGATCACAGGAGTGCAGTTCGTTCTGCACACCTGTGATCCGTTTTTCAGCTGACAGTGGGCTGAAGCTCACTGTTGGCTGACGTAACTGAGCTGGTCCAGGTTGGGGAAAGATCCTGACTTTAGTCAGCCCTCCACCCCAGAGTCTGAAGCAACACCTGGCTCAGGCTCTCAGTGAACTGCTGAGAGCTTGAGCCAGCCGCTCCCTCCCCCTCCACAGCCCAGCGCTCCATTGAGTACTGGGGGGGGGGGCAGAGCAGAGAGTGGTGACTGACAGTCACCACTCACTGTTCACAGCGGCGATAAGAACTCAGTGATCAGTGGTCAGATAAATGCTGAGTTCTCACCCTTAGAGCTGGCGGGGTACATATGCAGCATCCACCTAGGTAACTATAATTTGGGAAAAAAAAACAAACCCATACTTCTCTTTTAATCTTTGAGCTGGGTTTTGCACATTAAAATCCTTCTTGGACAGAAGTTTTGATGTGCTTATTGATAGGATGGTGCTGCCTCAGCCCAATTTAGGATTGAGAACTCTGTCACCCTGTAACAAAAGCATGGGCAGGATTAGCTACTCCTATGAATACTACATTGTACTTTGAAATACCCTGCTACATTTTACAAGCTATGAAATAAAAGTTTCCCTTTAACTTTGCTGCTTGTTTTTCTCAGCCTTTTTAAGGGTTTTATCTTCAAAAACACATAAATAAGCACTTGAATAAAATAATCAACGTAACACATTTTCATGTGGGATTTAGGTGTTTGGTACTAGCTGTTAGTCATAAATTCAAAGCACTGCGAGAAATATTTGTTAATTACTCAGGCAATCTATGCACAACATATTTTGGGATGAAGTCCTTTTGATGAAAGTGTAATTTCCTCTAATTAAAGATTTGTTTTATTTAATTGCATAAAGGAGGCCAGTGCACTACTCTCCTCTTCCAAAAATTAAAACACAAAAATAATGCTACACAACTCAGCTTCTGCTAATGAGCAGATTTAAATATAGGCAGTGTAATCATCTATGATTAAAGTACATTACACTGGAGAAAACATCTTGAAAATACTAAAAATAAGAAAAGCCATAAAAGTTGTTTTGTAGGTGCTTACTCAAAACATGAGTAAGCCTGAAATTAAAGAGTACTTTGCGTGATAGACTAATTAAATTCACAAACAAATATTAGTAATAGGGTAGCTATATACAACATAAAATAATGAATACATATGTGTCAGACCATTTTGCATGACCATTTTGGTGCCCTAAGGTAGATATCTACTGTCACCCATTCTACTCATGCTACCACCAAACACATTCCCTTTTAAACAGTACTGCCAGCCCGGTAAATCATTGAGGTCCCATTGATTTTGTACATTTCTGTAACAGTATGACATAGACTAATGTACGGCATCTTCATTGTTATCTATACCGAACCATACTTTGTCTATCCTCCGATATTTATCTATCAAATAATAACTGCTTGTCCCACTCTGACTTGGGAGAAATAGCAGCATTCAAATGTTTGGGTAGCAGGTTTCATTTGAGATACTTGGCTACTTTGTACTGCAGGCTTAAGCAGCCCATAGATGAGGCCAGAGCAACCAATTGGTTTAATTAAAAAAAAACTGACATGATTCCCCCATCCACACACTGGATGTGAATGGGGAAACCTCCCTGCTATTGTATTCTGACAGCAGAGAGACTTCACCGCTGTCAGAATACAATGATCATCGTTGCAAGCTATAGCCTGCAGTGCTGATCGAGTGGGGGAAATTCAGCAGGGCAGTTGTACAGAAGTTGATCGGTATACCAACTTCTTTACAACTTCCCTACCCACACATGGATCCAAATTTGGCTGGTCCCTGGTAAACCAGCCCGAATTTCAATCCATGTATGGCCGGCTTTTCACTCATATAATACATATGGGTGTCATGTTGTTTATATGAAAGTCTGAAGTAATCAACAGGTTAATCTATGGCCAAATACAACCCCAATTTCAAAAAAGATGGGACGACATGTAAAATCTACATAAAACAGAATGCAATGATTTTCAAATCTCATAAACCCATATTTTATTGAAATAGAAAATAGAAAACATATCAACTTTTTAAACTGAGAAAAATGTACAATTTTAAGAAAAATATAAGGTAAGGGCCCTAAGCACAGTGTTCCTTAAAAACTTTCTGCAGCGTCAGAAAACTTCTGGAGTTATCTAAAGTGAATGATCACAATATTTCTTTGTGATAGGAACAGTATCATTTTGAACAATATGATGCTGCTAAAGAATAATTTAGGTGTAGTTTGATTACAAGGCTCTTAGCTATCTACCATATATGTAGAATGTATAGGTGCATGTATTTATATATACAGTATATATCAAGATTACTTGTATAATCCTTGATGAGTAAACTAGAGGAATTTATAGAGTGGGAACAGGAGATAGATCTGGACAGGACACAAGAAAAAAACTCTCCTTTACTACAATTTTAGTAGAGCGAGGAAAGAACATCTGTCAGATTTTGATTGATTGTTGACTGAGTCTTGGCAAAAACCGAGACGGCAGTAAGGGAAATGTTTTGGCTGGAATTACATTTATTTGATAACTATGGGGAGCAAAAATACAGGCGCTGCAGGAAGTAAGGAGCTTTGAACTAATTTTTTTTTAGTTAAGCCACAGGAAACAGTTTTGATAATGAACTAATTTACTATCCTTGGCACTTAAAGACATTAAAAACTTGAGGTCACATGTTGATATAAGTGAAAATTCACTTTGCAAAGAATACCCAACCATATACAAGGAAAAAAAAAATTTGTGCTTGGACATGATTGGCTGATTGAAATTAGCACAGCTGAATTATTGTACTTAGCTTCGTGAATGGGGTGAAGCTATAATCATGGTCATTCAATGCAAATTGAATTTTCACCTAGTTCCTCTGCATTTATTGGACTGAGTGAAACTTCACTTTGCAAAGTTAAAGTCACTTTGCAAAAAGAATAAGCTCTACACCTTTAGTAAATCAACTCCATAACATTGGTTTACTATACCTAATGTGTTTCTCTAACTAACTAAAATAGTTTTTTAGTCTTAGATGGAGTTGGTAAGATTTTTTTTGCTGCAGGCCGCCCATCTGGGAGATCTGCCCTCTTTATTTGTTCCGGTCACCATTATGTGTGGCTTTTGGGCAGTTGTATAATATGAAGTCCTCTGAGTGGAAAGGATCAGAGTGCACATTCTTCAGTTTAATTTATCAAACACCTGCACATATTGTCAGCTTTATGCATGGGCAGCTGCCAACAAAAATGCTGTGTTTAATTTGGCAGAGGTTATGTTTTTTCTTATTTTTGAGGAATAAATGCCCATCGTACTTCCCTGGAATTTTATTAAAACTTTGTCTAAAGTGGCAGATAAGTCAGTGGTATGCAGGTATTGTCATTCCAGTTGTAAGTTCTGGAATTCATTGTTTCTTTGTCTTCATATTCCAGTGCACTGAAACCTCTTTCTTTTTTGAAACTCGCAACAAAGTTGCCTGTAAACATCTCTGGAAATGTTGTGTGGAGCACCACACCTTCTTCAGGTGAGTTGTCAGGCCTAAAAGTATTTGTGTTTGTTTACGCAGGGTTGTGTTTAAGTGTTTCTAAACCCACAACAGTAAAATCATTCTGTATATGCAGTAAAGCATGCTTGTTATACTCACTGAGGAACCTAAGGAGTTAATCCTCCACATTGTGTAAAAAGGCTGTTTGATCCTGTCTTCTCTGATCCTCCCCTTCTTCTACTGTCCCCAGTCCATCTTCTGATAGTACAGAGCTCTAGGAGTCACTCTGCACATGCTCAGTATAGTGTTTATTCCAAGAGAGGTTTTTGTTTTCTTTGGGAGAGTGCATGTGATCAGCACAGGGCCAATCAGGATTGTCCAACAGAAAGTCAGAAGTCCTTCTACAAGCTTGAACCAGTGCTTGACTGGACACTGATAGAAGTCACAAGACTGCTATATACTGTTGATGAGAAAAGGTATTTAGTTTATATTTACTAAAATAAATGCATTTCAATGTTGTGTTTAATGTGGGAGACCAGATATAGCGAATGCAGGGTCCTGGGTTTAGTAACACTTTAAGGTTTAATTGACAGATTGCCTATGTATATGTTAACTTGTTTGATGTGTGGCTTTTGGAACAAGTTAAAGTAGTGTCTTCCAACATTCATTGTTCCCCAGCCTTATCCTAACCTAAGCAATACATATATCTTTCCCTCACCTTCACTCCTTAAAACTTCCCTTAACCTTTTAATTACGCTTAACCTCCTCTCTCTCAACACTTAACCCAATCTTCCTTTAAAAAAAAAAAAGAAAGAAAACTATTTTTTTTTAAAATAATAAATACACATTTTTTGCAGGTAAAAAATGTTGATTTACTATGCTTTTTTGTAGGAGCGTGGAAAGCATTGCACCTGCAATCAGCAGATCGCGGGTGCCTTGCAGAACTCCTACAGGCATGGCACGAGCAGACAGTTTTCACACTGACAGGAAGACTTAATGAACTACTGGTTCATTGTTCATAGTTGATTGAGAGCTACAAGCTGACAGTCGCAAAGGCTGTCGGTACTTGTACTTTCACATTTGCAGAACTCTGTAAATGAATGAATGATGCAGCCGGGCGAGCGGAGCCCCGGACAGCTGCATTTTTTAAAATTGTGACAGTAAATGGGAGGAGAAGATCCCCCATTCGCTGTCACAAGGGGGATCGGGGTGTGGGACTGTTATGGGGGCCGATGCTACAGTAACATATTACCTGTTACACCCTGAGTATGGGTGTAACATGTTATGAAAGGTGAACCAATCCCTTAAACTTAATCCATAACCTAACATTATATTAGCCCCATAACACCTAATTATAACATTAAACCTTAGCCTAAGGTGTAAATTTAACCTGGCCTTAACAGTTCTCAATGTGGGTATACCAAATCCTACCATACATATGTGCTTGTAGCACTGTGTCCTGGCTTAACAGTTGCTGTGGTCCAGAGCTGGCATAGTCGACAGCCCCCCCCCCCCCCCCCCAACTGCTGCTCGACCACACGGCTCTGCAGGAGAAATATAACTAAATAGTGCTGATTGACAGTGCTAGTTCATCTCCATCAATGGGAGGGGGATCAGCACATACAGGAGACTCAGGCTCACAGCTGAGGGACAATATTCAGGGGCAGAGTCTCCTGTACACAGGGAAAACACATACACAGGACTCAAATCACAGCAGAGCAGGTGGTATGTAGGTAGGGAGAGGGGGCATGTCATTAGGTCTCCTCTACACAGTGGAACAGCAGAGGAAAGTCACAGCAGAGCAGGTGGTTTGTAGGAGAGGGGCATGTCAACTCCTCACAGTGGAACACATGCAGAGGCAACTACAGCATAGGAGGTAGCAAATGAGGTGCATAGTAGAACCTCCAACAAATTGGGCTTTGTGGAGGGGTGTAACAAACATGCAATAATAATACCAGAGATGAACATTTGATTTTCTTGAGAATTGGTTAGCATTTCTTTTGACAAGCAGAGATACTTTACTACATGACTCAGTAGATCAACACGTAAGATTTTAATCATCATTGCTTCCCTAAGAAAGTCAATATTTGCATAGGGATTTGGGGAACTGAAATATCAGATCGTGGGGTTGGGAACCACAGTTAAAGCTGAGCTCTGCCAAAGGATTTTTATTTTTGTCCATCCAGTCCTGAAAATTACACAGATCTACCCCACAGCACAGCCCTCTCTGGCAGGGTAGGAGACCCACTATCTCTGCTGTAGTTAAGTAACTCTTAGGGCTAATTCACACTATGTGCAGTAACAGACATTTTACTGTATTGTAAAACGTCTGTCACTGCAGGGACACACAGGAAACAATTGTTTCCTATGCGTCCCATTCACACTGCAACGCAGCATATGGCTGCGCTAAAATGCATTTGCTGCATTTTATCACATTACGCCTTGCCAAATCATATGGCATTGTATGCAAAACTTTTACTTGCATCCTAGTACAAATAGCTGAATAAAAATCGGTGAGCCAATCACAAAAGCAGGAATTACATTTCTATCTATCTATCTGTGTACAGAACACCTCAAGGTTGCCACATTGCATTGATTTTTTGACTGTTTTAAAAATTACACCAGCTTTAGATTGAAATGGAAAGGTATTTTTTTTAAATAACATTAAACTACAAAATGGCTAAAGTGCAGTTTTATATGCTGTATTATTATTTTACCAAAAGTATCAATGAATACAATGCTGCATTCATGTGTATCTTTTATACCCTTCTGGAGTTAAGCTTTACACTATTCAGTTTTTCTTAGGCTGGCCATACATTATACAATTTTCTTGAGATTTTTTGGTTTAAAGTTACCAAAAAGCATATAATAGGAGGTAAAACCTAACAACACTTTAAATTGTATCCAATTAGGCAGGCTCTTGCACTACATAGTTGAAGGTAAATCTAAAGGAAATTGGGCAGAAATTGGACAGAAAATTGTATAGTGTATGGCCAGCCTTAGTGTTAGCTTGCTTTTTGTAAACCTGCTGCAAGTTTACTATATAGTTACATAGTTAGTCTGGCTGAAAAAAGACAAAAGTCCATGCAGTTCAACCATAAAAAAAAAAAAGTTATAATCATACACCCACAGTTGATCCAGAGGAAGGCAAAAAAAAAAACCAGCAAAGCATGATCCAATTTGCTCCTGCTGGGAAAAAAAAATCCTTCCTGATCCCCTGAGAGCAATCGGATAATCCCTGGATCAACTTTACCTATAAATGTTAGTATCCAGTTATATTCTGTGTATCTAAGAAACAATCCAGGCCTTTTTTGAAGCAATCCACTGAGCTGGCCAGAACCAACTCTTGAGGGAGTCTATTCCACATTTTCACAGCTCTCACTGTGAAGAAACCTTTCTGTGAACACTATACTAAAATATCTCTCTTTTAATACTCAATACATGCATGCTTAAAAATGTTTCTTTTTGAAAGCTGGTAAATGATTTATAAATGTAATTATAATGTATATTTCTTACACATTTAAGGATCCCAGAAAATGATACAAGTACTTTATCAAGGAAGCTCACTAAACTTGGCTCTCTGGGATCCCGGCATAGGTACAGGTGGGTTAAATAAACAAGCATTTATTCATGGCATATCAAAGCATGTGCTTGTATAATAGGTTGGACTTTGTTCACCGACAGTGACTCATTGTGATATCATATGCAGTGCACACTGTACCCTTCCGCATAGTTCATTGTCTGACCTCACATGGGAAGTCAGCCAAGCAAAAAATGCGTCTGCATTATGTAAATGTTTTCAGAGACCTCTTTGCCATATGCAGTGTTATGTTTGGACAACACATTAACCTAATTATGATGATCATGCCTGACCAGTAATTGTTTATATTATAATTATAGACACATTATGAGATGAGAAGTGGGCGTGAAAAGGAGGCTTAGGCTAGCTAAGTATTGTGACAAAGAAACCATTAACATTTGTGTTTCTATGTATCATTTAGAAACAATAGGAACTGTATTTGAGTTAGTAATTGGATTCATAATATTGTGGTGGTGATGCAGAGCATCAGTGTTCATGCACTAAATCCGGCTATGGGAGCACTTGACTTTATGTTATAGTGTGGCACATAATTCAACATCCTGTTCAGTAACTGTTCAGAAATCTTAAAAGTTATTCAATATGGGGCTACTTTATTTAAAGCAGAGGAGAGAAAATGGGAATAAAAGTTGAGTGGTTTGCCTTCATGATCAGTCAGGATGCAGTTTTTCCATATGATACCAGGTGAAACCTGTTTGGTTGCTACTAGTAACAATGACACTTATGCTCTTATTTTCTTATTGAGTTAGAAAGAATAGATATAGACTATTAATCAGTTTGTTTTATCATATGCTGAGATGTTTTGAAAATATGTTGTAATTTTTTTACCTTTTGTTTAGTGGTAGGACTGCTTCCCAAATGAGCAGAGATCTTTCCATCCAGCTTCCAAGGGCTGACCAAAGAGTAGAGAGGAACCGAAGCAAAACCTATCCCAAAAGATCAGCACTTACTCAGCAGCCAGGTACCAAGCCATCCTTATGTTACATTGCATCCTGTATAATAGTAAATTCACAATGGTTTTGAGGAGACTTGTTCCAAAAAAAAATATATATTAAAAAATATACAGGGGTTAGAAAAAAAAATTGAAACACTACATCTCTCAACCTTTTCAACACAGAGTAACCCTTAAAATATTTTCCGGTCTCCGGGAACCCCTGCTAAAAATGTCCATATCTACAACTCATGATACAGTCAGGTCCATAAATATTGGGACATCGACACAATTCTAATATTTTTGGCTCTATACACCACCACAATGGATTTGAAATGAAACAAAGAAGATGTGCTTTAACTGCAGACTGTCAGCTTTAATTTGAGGGTATTTACATCCAAATCAGGTGAACGGTGTAGGAATTACAACAGTTTGCATATGTGCCTCCCACTTGTTAAGGGACCAAAAGTAATGGGACAGAATAATAATCATAAATCAAACTTTCACTTTTTAATACTTGGTTGCAAATCCTTTGCAGTCAATTACAGCCTGAAGTCTGGAATGCATAGACATCACCAGACGCTGGGTTTCATCCCTGGTGATGCTCTACCAGGCCTCTACTGCAACTGTCTTCAGTTCCTGCTTGTTCTTGGGGCATTTTCCCTTCAGTTTTTTCTTCAGCAAGTGAAATACATGCTCAATCGGATTCAGGTCAGGTGATTGACTTGGCCATTGCATAACATTCCACTTCTTTCCCTTAAAAAACTCTTTGGTTGCTTTTGCAGTATGCTTTGGGTCATTGTCCATCTGCACTGTGAAGCGGCGTCCAATGAGTTCTGAAGCATTTGGCTGAATATGAGCAGATAATATTGCCCGAAACACTTCAGAATTCATCCTGCTGCTTTTGTCAGCAGTCACATCATCAATAAATACAAAGATAACCAGTTTCATTGGCAGCCATACATGCCCACGCCATGACACTACCACCAGCATGCTTCACTGATGAGGTGGTATGCTTAGGATCATGAGCAGTTCCTTTCCTTCTCCATACTCTTCTCTTCCCATCACTCTGGTACAAGTTGATCTTGGTCTCATCTGTCCATAGGATGTTGTTCCAGAACTGTGAAGGCTTTTTTAGATGTCGTTTGGCAAACTCTAATCTGACCTTCCTGTTTTAGAGGCTCACCAATGATTTACATCTTGTGGTGAACCCTCTGTATTCACTCTGGTGAAGTCTTCTCTTGATTGTTGACTTTGACACACATACACCTACCTCCTGGAGAGTGTTCTTGATCTGGCCAACTGTTGTAAAGGGTGTTTTCTTCACCAGGGAAAGAATTTTTCGGTCATCCACTACAGTTGTTTTCCGTGGTCTTCCGGGTCTTTTGGTGTTGCTGAGCTCACCGGTGTGTTCCTTCTTTTTAAGAACATTCCAAACAGTTGTTTTGGCCACGCCTAATGTTTTTGCTATCTCTCTGATGGGTTTGTTTTGTTTTTTTCAGCCTAATGATGGCTTGCTTCACTGATAGTGACAGCTCTTTGGACCTCATCTTGAGAGTTGACAGCAACAGATTCCAAATGCAAATAGCACACTTGAAATGAACTCTGGACCTTTTATCTGCACATTGTAATTGGGATAATGAGGGAATAACACACAGCTGGAACAGCTGAGAAGCCAATTGTCCTATTACTTTTGGTCCCTTAACAAGTGATAGGCACATATGCAAACTGTTGTAATTCCTACACTGTTCACCTGATTTGGATGTAAATACCCTCGAATTAAAGCTGACAATCTGCAGTTAAAGCACATCTTCTTCCTATCATTTCAAATCCATTGTGGTGGTGTATAGAGCCAAAAATGTTAGAATTGTGTCGATGTCCCAATATTTATGGACCTGACTGTATATTAAACTGATAGTCAGTGGGAAGAATGCCCCTTACACTTGTGGTCATTGGGAAGAATTATCCCCTTACAGACAGCTAAAAAGATCAATTGCATCCATGGGATCTTATCGGAGAGGCAGAAATTGCTCATTGCTCAAGGAACCCCTAACAACCTGTGGAGGAACGCTAGGGTTCAATGGAACTCTGGGTGAGAAACCCTGCACTACTTGTTTTGCAAGTGTGAAAGTGATGACATGTTTTGCTATGAAAGTGGAAGGGATGTAACACTCTTTTGCTTCCGCTGTGTGATGAGACACCTAGCTAATAATAGGAAAACCTCACTTTCGCCACTCAGTGCATGTGCTGCTAGTAATACTGAGTCATGTCAGAGTTTACACAGCTTCAAAGAAGGCAAATTGTTTGTGCCCACCTAGCTGGTGCCTCTGGGAGTGAAGTTGCCAATTTATTTGCCATGTCGCGAGATGCAGTATCAAAGGTTATGACAGCATATACAGTTTCTGTGAAAACATTGTCTGATAAGTATAAGCACAGTTGACCTGGTAAACTGAGATTTGCAAGACTGAGATTGAGCCCTGCAGTCACTTTTCCAGCAGATGTTTTCTTATATAGTGTGGCAATGCAAGGCCATGCCAATGTGTGATTAGGCAGTTTATGCCAGATTTTGTAAGAGGCAAGCACACTAATGGCACAAGCATATGTGGGCTTTCTATGGTTTTTGTAACTCTGGATCAGAACATTCAATCCTGTGTCTGGCTTTTCTAGAAACCTGCAATCTGGCGTACACAGCTGTGAGGTGTCATTATATACACAGGTGTGAGAATAGCTCAGGACTCCCAGTTGGAGACCACTCTCAGCAGGGAGATGGAAGGTCTCATCAAGGGGTCAGAGGCCCCAGCCAGAAGCCAAGAGACAGATGTCTCAGTTCCTGGAGACATGGTGTCTGGGGAACCCCCATCTATAGGCTAGAGGTGGGCAGCAGGGTGCTGTGATTAAAGCCTTTAGAGCCAGGTATCCAGGACAGATACTGCCATTGAAGCTGAGTGAACTGATGCATTTCAGAGGTCTATGACTAAGCCCCGATGGGTGGGGCGAAATGCATCAGAGGTGCAGCTCAGAAGGAGCTCAAGACTGAGGCCATTCACATTCCTCTCCACCTGTTGAGCTAGTGTTGTGCTGCATCCCTCATTTCCTCATAACGAATTGTCAATTGCATGAAATAGCAGATCCCTATATGCAAATAACAGCCACATGTTATGATTACCTGCTCTGGCCAACCCTCTACCACCTCCAGTCATGGTGATTGACATCTTAAATAGGCTGTAGTGAAGAGAAGGGGGTATGTTAAAGCCAACAATCACAAGAGCTGGTCATTATTTGCAGATCAGAATGTTCTATGAGAAATAGAAAACAATGTGCAGGCACCTGTAAAGTGCCTAATATTTCATTGAAGTGGCAATTTCTTATCTTAAAGCCACAAATTGCAAGCTGTAATGGTAATAGGAACGTTTTCTTTTCAGCTGCCAGTTCCTAGTTAAAGCTTGACCAAATTGGACAAAATCTACCCTCGCAGTGGGATTAAAAGCTCGTTTGGTCTAGGGGTGCAGGAATAAAGAGTATTACTTACCCTATCCCTCGGTCTGGCAGGCTACAACGCTGTTCTCTTCTCGAAGGTCCTGCCTGTAGGTGGACCCTCAGCATGCTATTAGCCCTGCACTGTGTGTGAAGGAGACTAGCATGCAACCGGGGCTGAGCTTGTGGAAAGCAACAGCACTAGAACGTTCACATGGAGTGAGGGAGCCTGTCTGAGCCAGGAATAAGAAAAGTACTACACCCTGTCTCTGGACCCCTAGATCAAGTGAGCATTTAACCCTTGCAGTGCAGGGAGGGTCCCACTGCAACGATAGATTTAGTTTAATTTCCGGACTTCAATTTTATCTGAGCAGTGGCCATATTATATGAATGAAAGGAAAGCTGGTATGAGAGAAATATAGGCACTGCTCTGATTACCTACTACTGTTCTTTGACAGTTTAGGTTGCTCTGTGTTCTCCAAACCCAGCAATCCTGGGAATGACAAAAGTCAACCTTTTCATCAAATCATCAATTTAAGACAATTTATAGATGTGTATTTCAACCACAACTGTGTATTGAGTTGCTTTCCTGTAGTTAAAATATATGATCTGCAGTGAGGACCGCTTTTGTACATTGTAACTTTATTGACAATCACTTGATTTTCTGAACATCAGCATCTCAAAGTATTTGACTAAGCAACATATGTGAAAATGAAACATGCTCCATCAGCACATCCTCCAGTTCTTAGCCCAACTCTCATTGTGTATAGTTTGAGCACAGCTAGAAGGAGAATCTAGTTCTTTCAGGGATCCAGAATAAAATGGCTTTGAGCTGTGATAGTGAATGGAACATCCGAGGAATTAAATTCTGCAAAACAGTCTACAGTCACTGCTGACTTCAGCATATTCTTCTCACTAGCCCAACACAATTTTCCAGAAATCACACCAGCTTGACAATACAGCTATATCAGCAGAGAACAAACTACTTCAAAGGAACCTGTTCATCTCTGTCTTGTGCTTATAGCCCCGAGGGGCATTTTGGATTTTGCATTGCTGATTTGAGTAGACAATGTGCACATGCTGGAATAGATGTAATATAGCATTAATATTCCTTTGAAATGTCTGACAACAAAGAAAACTACCATCAAAATGTGTTTTTTACAGCTTCAAATAATTTAGAGCAGATATCAACAAACTTGGAAAATGGAGAAAATGAAGGCACCACAAAAATCATTGCCCCATCCCCAATAAAGAGGTAAGTTCAATTGTGAGAGTTCAGGAATCATCAGATGAATTGGTGATTCACCTTCTAATGCACAAATTGAAAGCTGCAGGTGTTGATTTGCTGAGTTGCCAGTATATGTGTTGTAAGTGTGAAGCCCAGCCAATCAGAAAGATCATTAATGCTTGTTAATGTTAATCATACTTTCATCCTGCTCCAGGTTATCCATAAAAATGTGTGCATGTAGTAAAACATGATACACATCTGTATATATCTCATGCCATTTCACGGGTGAACACAATTTTAAGGTTGGACATGTTGGGTATCTATTTACTCGGCGCAACCTCATCTTTTATAGTTGACCAAAAAATTAATAATCTATTGCGTTTATTCTCTAAGGTGTCTGCTTTCACAAAATATATAATGTTTTGTGTGTTAATATTCAGGCCCAAACCTATTTTTTAAATGTAAACAAAAACCACAAAAACTGCAAAAAAGGTTAAGAGGCCATTCAAGCAAAAGCAGGTGAAAATAATTGGTATTCAAAAAAAGGGGATTTGTGAAAAGAAATTCACAGAAAAAGCGGCTACATTATGAACAGAACGTGACACTCAGAAAAAATTTCCAAAAATGATGCTTTATTACACATATATAAATATGACATATGGGCGTTCGCCCTGGTTTACCATCACCTCAGTATGAGACAATACACACAGACCTAAAACCATATAAAATGATACCAAGACCGGTCTAAATGCATGTGCAACAGAAAAAATGACTGCAGGAGTCTAATGTCCCTGTAGCACAGACACATAGGTGAACACTTCCCAAAAGAGGTGTATCCAAAAATTATACCATAGGCATACCATAATATTGAATATTATAAATAGAACAATACCTTTATGGTGAGTCCCAATCAGGGAATCCAAAAATTGTACTATGGATATAAATATCACATGTATGCAATACAGCAAGCACAATATGCGTCAAAAAGAGAACAACAAGCCTCAGGCCTGTATGGAGGGAGACATAAATGTCAAATATATGATGCAATACATTCCTGTGCCGGCACAAGTGGTTGGGGCCCATTCATCTGTAATATAAACAGCTGTATCCTAGAGCTCTTGAATGAAAATATGCCCCATTTATTCCCAGGGTGGAAGAAAAGATGCAAAAAGCAGCACTCTGCTTGAAATGGTATCTTCACCACTATATGTGGACTACACACCACCTTTCGTAGGGAAAACAGGACATATCCCAAAAGATCTTCTGCCTGTTGAGATATATGTGGTATATCCTGTATCCTATACAAAGCACCATGATGTCCCCATCCTGTGGTGAGACAAATAATATGTGGGAAGTCACTGACAGAGTTTACACTCAATAAGATATATAGGTCATATAGATCACAGAGGACCATATATCTAATGTCCTGTAACAGTCCACTCACCACCGTGCTGTGGGTATTAGGAATGAAAGAGATGTCCTTCATGGGTACTACCATACACGGCCACAGAGGCCTAGGAACCACCGCTGACATCCGCCGATATACCGCGGGTTCCAGCCCCTTCTTGGCGCTTGTGCTGCTCACACTTGCCTCATGGCATGTGAAGATGGCTTCCTCCTTATGGGTCAGCGTGCGTTCCACCTAATGCGCATGACCGGAAGTGACGTATCTGACGTATGACGTCAACGCGTTTCGCCGATGGGCGTATCTCACTCAGCTTCGTCAGGACCAATGAAACAACTGCATTTCAATTTCCTATTTATAGTGGGTAAAGACCCACCCATTTATGCAAAAAGGCTAACCTGCAATTGTTCCTAATGGAAGAAAAAAAGGGGGCTAAATACTTAGCACAGCTGCTGGTCTTTGTTGAATATAATTAAAAAGACAGACGGCTGGAGACAACAGAGAGGGGAGAGGCTTAGCAATTTTAACAATGCATATATTGATCAAAAGATCATGAATTAAATATACCAGTCAATTAACGCTTTTATCACATTTTAACCAGAAGATGGCGATATAAATCAGAGAATCAACAATTCTATTCATTGAATCAGGTTTTTTAGGAGACAATGTAAATTACCAAAAGACACCACAAGATGGCAATATAACCTGAGAGTTCTCATAAGGGTCATTGCAACAAAAATACCCCAATTCTCAGGCAACCATCCTATGGTGTGGTTATTATTCAAAAAGAGGAGGTACTAAGGGACAATTAACCAGATAATCAATCCTTTTACATTTTTTAGAGCTATATTGAGGCTCATACCATAAGATCATCCATACTATTGTTAATATTCCCAATATATATAGGTTTATTTTGGGGTTATTTAATCTAAAGTCCAACCCTTTATAAAGACAAAAAAATACAAAAAAATGCCGTAAATTGCCCACCGCATGGCAATAAGCAGGTACATAGTCCTATAAACCTATTTTTCCAAAAACACTTGGAGGTCACATTCCACATTTAACCCCTTAGGGTACAGTGTATCAAGTTTATATATCCAATGTTTCTCCTTTTTAAGCAGTTCTCTGTCAAAATCACCTCTCCTTTGTGGGAAGTGCAGTGCATAGAAACCTTTTACTTTTGTACCGTCCAGTTTACCTCCATGATATTTGGCGTAATGTTGGGCAAGATTACTGTCAGGGTCATTTGATCTAATATCTCTAAGATGTTCACCTATTCGTACTTTGAGTTGTCTTTTAGTCTTACCAACATACATCTTTTTACAGGGACAGGTTAAGATATATAATACTCTCACTGTGGAGCAGTTTATGAGACTCTGAATCTTATAATGAGTGTTATTTCCTGAGTCATAAAAGGAATCCGTACGATCCACATATTTGCAGATTTGACATTTTCCACATTTAAACATCCCCTTGGTACGTGATTTTAACCATGTTGTTTGTTTTAATGGTTGATAATCTGAATGAATAAGGAGGTCACCAAGATTTGGTGCTCTTCTTGCTACCATCTGGGGGCGCTCACCTACAATCTTACTCAACCTAGGGCATTGAGTTAGAATCTTCCAATGTTTTTCTAATATCAATTTTACATCTTGCCATTGGGCTCCAAATTGGGTTATCATTCTAACAGGTTGATCACTCGGTTTAGCCTTTACATCCTTTTTAGGAGATAATAAGTCCTCGCGGTCAGTTTGATATGCCCGTCTCCGAGCATTTCTAATTTGGGAGTGGGAATATCCCCTTTCTCTAAATCTTCTATAGAGGTCCTGAGCCTCCATTCTAAAGTCATTGATGTTTGAGCAATTTCTCCGACATCTCAAAAACTGTCCCACTGGAATCCCTGAAATCAGTGAACGTGGATGATAGCTTCTTGCCTCTAGTAGGGTGTTGGCAGCAGTAGAAAATAATTGGTAGTTGGATTACCGATATGAGACTAGCATGCAAAAAAAAAAAGAATGACTATCATTCATCCGATATTCTCATTGTGTGTGCGAGGCTTAAGGAAGTTGTGAAAATCTAGATACTGTCTTTGGCACCATAAGATTAAATGGTGGGAATACCAATCCACAGTGGCACCTTATGTCACTGAAATGTGATGTATCTATGCTGTCTTTCTCCTCCCTCTAGGCATTGACAGCGATCCATTTATTTAAAAAGAAGTTCATAAAACTTTAGTTTCCAGTTTCAAGAATCTAAACACAGATTGCAAGCAAACACTGTTCATGTACTGTATATGCTATTGTCATGTCATATTCTGCATATGCTTTCCACATTCCTAAATTTTAAAGAATAATCATACAATAATAGACAATTTGTCTTCAATAGAAAATTGAATCTCCAGACCACAGTAGCTTTACTTTTCTTTACATAAAAAGAAATGAAGAAGTATTTAAAGCAATACAATACAAGCCCACACAAAGGTAGGAAAGAAAAAGACATCTGATTTTGTCTTGCATTTTATTCCTTGCACAGTGATGAAAGTCCTTCATATTGTACCTTGACATTTGCAGACATAGGAATCTAGACAGTTGTAGGATTAATAATAAAGTACACCATACACAAAGCCTTGGGTGGATTTGTTCAGAATACATTCACTTTCTAGAAGGAAAATTTCTTTGGTGGAATAAAATATGTTAGAATTTTATTATTACTCAGCTGTCTCAGATTTGCCCATTATGAGAAGAGACACAGGACAGAAACTGAGAGCAATGAGATTCATTACTAGTCCCTCCTGGCAGTACTTGTTGTCTGATAGAAGGCAGGCGACGTCAGTACTGGCTGCATCCTACTAACTGAATAGAATAGTCACTCATACCGTGTAATCACTTTTACATGCTCATTATCCTCAGAAAGACAATTCAGAAGAGGCTAAGCATTATAAACAAAGAACAACCAACAGCAGTTGAACTCAATAGGAATCATGCAGGTATGCGACCTAGATGGCATGATATTCTCATAAACAGTGGAAGAAGATGTGCTTTTACATAATAAGCTCAGGAACAAAAGGAACAAGACAGTAGAAAATGAGAATAAAGTGTTTTGTAGCAGATGCTGGTATTCCCAGTAAGTGTCATGAATGGAAATATCGAATTTCTATACCACAGATTTGCATCTTCAAAGCAGTCATTCTTTACAAGAAGGAAGAAAAAATAAACCCTTATAGAAACAATATCGCCGCACATTCTGAACTGTCAGTGGTCATAGAAAAATATTGTTTTACAATTTGGCCAGTGGTGCATTAGTCTCTCTGTGTGTGTTATATGATTGATGGTATACAGAGACAAGCACCAGGGCTTCAGCTGAACAGATGGGTTAGAATCTTTTTTTTTTGTCAAATTTTCTCTTCATCTCTGCTGATAAAACAGAGATGATTAGAGATAACTTGGCACCACATGGTACTACTTTACTGGCAGTAATGGAGAGATTGCCTGACACTTTCTGAATAGTGGATATACATGCTGGGTGCATGGAGGATCTTTCACAGTCTGATTATTCAGTTATCAGATCCTCTTGTGTAATGACAGTTTAGGAATGATTGCTAAATCCTCAGCATACACATGTGTTCTCTAATTAGCTGCTTAGTGCTGGGTGTACACAGGCCTTTTCCTGTAAAATGTGATAAAGATGTTCATGATAAAGTCCTAGTGTTTTCATCGTCATCTGTTGAAAATCAGCAGTGAAGATCAACTGCACTGCTTCAAAGAAAATCTCATACTGAATAGAATTATAGAGTTCATCATTTCTTGTTTACTTTTATTTCTTTTATAGTAATAAGAAAAAAAATTGCATGGATCACAATTTAGCCCATAACTAGCCACATATTTTGCCGTTAATATGGAAAAGTGAAAAAGGAGAGAAAAAGATAATAGAGCAAGCAGAGTGTAGTTACCAACAATGTGTTGCACTGTTGTATCTATATAAATCATGCAAAACAATATACACTGTATATCTGAAAAACAAGTCCACCTAAAAAGTCTCAAAGTGATTTATATAAATGCAATCACTTGTGAGAACTACCATTCAAAAGTGTTCCTTCACCAGCTACAGTGCTGCCACCACCATATCAACACGCTTACGAGAGCCTAAGACCCCACATTAAAAGAGGCTAAATAGCCTCTAAAGGAGCTGAGAGAGCAGGCAGTGAAGCACTGTAGGGCTTCGGTCATGGATCATACTTTTGACCTGCTTTGCCATCTATAAGACTGCATCAGACCACCTGTTCCAGGAAAGTAACCCCTCCCATTCTACCTGAAGGTTCTGCTGGGAGAGTTTGGCGACCAATCTCCATATCATTTAAAGCTCAGCTGTGGGTTCATCATCCATCCTGTTGAGAGAGACTTTGAATCATCTGGTCTGATGATAGATTGCAAGCACTATTTGACCTCTTTTAATATGGGGTCTCAGGCTCTGGTAAGAGTGTTGATATGGTGGTGGCAACACTGTGACTGATGAAGGAGACTTTTGAATGGTGGATCTCACAAGACGTTTCTTCTGTGGTCAAATTATTTCTGCATTGTCAACCTCCTCATAATGTCTGTAGTTAAAGTGTTACTAAATCCTTGACCCTGCATTCACTCTATCTGGTCTCCCACAGAACACTGAACATGGAAATGCAATTATTTTAGTAAATATAAACTGCTCAATACTTTTTTTTCTCATCAGCAGTATATAGCAGTCCTGTGACTTCTATCAGTGAGCAGCCAAGCACTGGTTAAAACATGTAGGAGGAATTTTTATTCTCCTCTGACTGTCCTAAGAGGCTGCATTACTCCTGAGCTTGCTGATTGACCCTGTGTTGATCACATGCACACTTCTGAAAAAAACTCTCTAGCAATACACATCAAACTGAGCATGTGCAGAGGGACTCCTAGGGCTCTGTACTATCAGCAGATGAATTGGGGACTGTGGAAGAAGGGGAGGATCAGAGAAGTCAGGATCAAACAGCCTTTTTACACAATGTGGAAAATTAACCCCTTAAGTTCCACAGTGAGTATAACAGGCATGCTTTACTGCATACACTGACTGATTTTACTGTTGTGGGCTTAGTAACACTTTAACATTAGGTGGCACATGAGTCAAAAACATTTCTAAAATGGTACCGAATACATTATTACATTCAACTTTAGTTGGAGTTCATGGCAGATCTTGCTAATACCTGTGTTAGGGATATGTCCTTTTATCTCTTTTTTATAAACTGATTTGATGCAATTTGTCCACCAGGTTATAGAAGGTTCTCGGGGCTATTAGAAAGCATAGAAGAATTGTTTTATATGTATGGTATTTTATTTCATATGTTCAAAGCTTCAAAAGTGTAGAATTTCTCAACGACTGCCTCAGCAACACACATGTCCTTATTGTTCCTTTGAGTGTAATTGTTTTGCTAATGACTTTTCAGTTCAGTACAAGCTCTTCCAAATGTATTAATTTCCTCTAACAAGAGCCAACAGGCATAGAAAATGCTTCATTGACGTAAATGACATCATTACTATAGTGAACATTGCATCAATGGCTTAGGCAGTGAAACTTTGTAACTTAGAGTGACTGAACGCCTAGAGACTTTCTGGGGGTGATGAAAGTGAGACCAACACCAGAATCATTTGATTACCAAAAAAAAAAAATGTCTTTTATAGGATATGAAACACAGAACATAATGTTACATCTTGCTGTACAATTAATTCTCTATATATTTTAACCGCACATATATAGTATACGTACAAGTATACTATTTACTGTTGTTTTTTAGACATCGGTAATCCAACTACCAATTATTGTCACCTGCTTTTGTTTGAATGGCCTCTTGCACCGAGTAAATAGATACCCAACATGTCCAACCTTAAAATTCTGTTCACCTGTGAAATGGCATGAGAGGGGATTTTAAGAGCTTGGGTGGAACTTTAATTTTTTACACTTTTTTATTTTTTTTACTTAACTTTTTTTTTTCATCAAATAGGGGACAAAAAGTCCTAACACAAGGATGTGTGGAAATGGTCTGGATTGCCTCCATCTGACAGCCAACAGTCGGCTTGTCAGATTCAAACACAATTCCAGCAGCTGCAGCCTTCATGAGTATGTGTAAAACTCCCTGCTGTCACCATACTGCTGTCTACATTGGTAGCAGTAAAAGGGCCTTTGTTTTGTATCCCCATTGGTTTTGGAGGGCATCAAATGGGCATGCTGTCATCGAATAGTGGCTAGGAAAGTCTTTAGATACTAATGTTCCCAGTCCACTGCCCCATCCAGAATGCGGGATTTCTCCTTTTGCAAGATGCTTTTACCTAATCAGTTGGATTGTATAGCTTGCATTGGGTACATATAAACCATTGCCATCTATACCACAGTTTCAGAAACATTAACCTAAAGAAAAAAGGTTTCACATAATAATACAAAGAATAGCATATCATGCTAATAAATCATCAAATTAATTCTCAATATATTATCAATAATGTTGACCTTATTGCATTGATTACAATTCTGTTTTACAGCTCAAAAAAAGGTCAAATGTGAAAACAGCCCAGATGTCCAAAGAAGTAAGTCCAGTGCACCATGGGAAGAAAATGGCTCTCCAAGGTAAATTGCTGATGTAAACAAGAGAAATAATATAAATATGCTAGTCATGTTGGAAAAGACCAGTTCACTGTGATATGTGGAAGTTAGGGAACAAAATACTCGAAGGCTACACAAAAGTAGGTTATGTGCTAAAGTGCTGTAGATTGTGTCCACACCTTAGCGCACTACCCTGTGATGGGGTGTGAGGAATCCTCTTTCCTAGATCAGCCAGTATCTTGTCTTCCATGAGGTGAAGGTCTTGCCACAGATTGCACTTTAGGTCCCAGAAAGCGAGGGCCAGGTTTGGTGGCATAGTGGAATGATGTTACCATTGCCTGGTACAGTTAATATTATACTGTTCTCTTTATATTGTTTCCTTTGTGTTAAATTCCTGTCAGTACCTCTGCTTTCCTATCAAAAACTGCCACACTAGGCATTAGAGGTCAGTTCTCTAGCTGTACTGGGAACACAGTCTGCTTTCCTCTCATTATCAGACTTGCCCCCCACATAGAATTTACTGGGAAGATCAAGGTGTTGCTGTTTCTCCACCCTCACAACTCTATGCAGTTGAGAACAGAGGGTATGTGATCACTTAAAAGGTATTTATAATAATTACATATTTGCAGGTAAAAGTGGAGAAAACAATCAGCATGGACTCTGTTGGACAATATTTCTTTGATTGTCCTAATGTCTCAACAATTTGGTTGGCTCCTGAAGATGACCCTGGGTTTGTCTCATTGCCTGCAGGCAGCTTAGACCAGAATGTTTCTTCCAAAGAATAATCTTCAGTCTATCCAATCTCATATTCGTGCCCTTCAGTCTGGGAGTTGACCTCCCCTCAGCTGTTGCATGAGAGCTGTGGGTCAGTAAGGAATCCTCTTCCAGGCAATCCTTCTTTCTCCAGCCTCACACATGACTGTCTCAGCACTGCACTCCGTTGTCATGTGACAAGTTGGCTGAATTTCTGTGCAGACCGATTTTGTCTAGCCCTGAGAATGACGTAATCCCTAGTCAGGTGGATCAGCCTTCCAGGTGTGGAGTTGGGTAAGTGCTTTTTGCCACCTTATGGAGGATCTTAATGGATGCCAGCTTGTTGGGCTGAGGAGAAGGCATGGACACCCTGTCAGTGCAGGGGACCTGATCTTCAGAGAAATCACATATCACAGTCTACAACTTGGAGTTTCAGGGGCTGTGGTTGTTTCTACATTTCTGGATCATCCCGTTGACAGGTCACCTGCTCTGGATTCAGTTGGACAATGCCATATTGGTGGCATGACTCCAAGAACAGGAGATCTTGCTGTTACAAGAGAGGTACTTTGGTTCCTGACCTGGGTAGAATTTCCGATTCTAGTCCTGTTCTTTATGTTCATGTCAGTTGCAGACATCTTGTCATGGAAAGCAGTTTATACAGTGTGCTCCTGGGCCTGGTTCAACTTAATGCTGGACATGTCTGACTCCAGATGCAGATATTCTGTAGCAGTAGCAGTAAATACTCATCAGATCTTTAGGTCCAGAACTAGGCCTTTTCTCCTTCTATAATTCTTCCTTATCTACTTTGCAGACTTGAAGGGGGGGGGGGGGCTTTCTGGTAATTCTTGCTCTGGTTTGATCATGGCAAATATACTGTTAGTGCTCCTGACTGTTGCTCCATGAGTGCAACAGATTGTTGGGGAGTCGTGTCCATAAATTGCAGATAGACTACATTACTATATGTGTGAAAATAACACCTCTATACAATGAGATATCAGTCTGCGAGATGTGAGATCCTTTTCAGAAGATTAGCAAGTGTATACTCCATACTTTTATGGTTTTAAACAGTTTTGTACTTAATAATGTCTAAGATTTTGTAACAGTGTTGGTGTTTCTAATGTTGTTCATGTGAGTCTAAGCACCAAAAAAAAATCCAGTTTTTTATATTTTTTCATTGAAATTTATGCTCAAACAGTATATAAGGGTGTGTGGTACAGATTACACCTAATGTCATCTGTATGAAATCAGAATTGTGTGACATAGCAGTGCATATTCGTTGGACATAGTGATTATGTGTCACAGAATTCAAGGATGTAAATGTGTAGGATTATTCAAAAAGTGAGTTTGCAAACTTCAAGATCATTCAGATTGGTAGGAGTAGGCTAGAAATTATTTAATTCAATGTGGAAATTAATATATGCTTTTACATTTTGAGTGGAGATACATTTTAAGTCCTTATTCTTCTTTGCTGTTTTTTTTGTTAAGAATGTTAACCTTCCATCCCTTAGTTTAAGACCTTGTATGGAGGGTTCCCAGACAACTTCTCCCAATTGCCCCTTGTAGTTATGTGGGATCAAAATTTGGTTTTCTTTGCATTTTCTATTTTCATTTGGACTCCTTGAAGGTAATTCTACTTTAATCCACCCTCGCTGGGTCCTTTCCTAGTAGTCTTCTCTCTCTTTGATTGTGATTTAAGCAGTAAGTCTCCCTGTCTCTCAGCTACTTACTTTTTTTTAGGTAATCCTAGGATGGACCTGTAGGTTGATTTGGTTTCAATGGACTAGAAAGATAATTGGAATATTGTAATCCTTATTTTGGAGTCCTTTGAGGGACACCGGTCCCACCCTTCTGTGTTTTTGAATATGTTCTCGGTACTGATATGCTACTAAACTGAGGCATACCGGTAGGCTGGCCTATAATCTTTCTGTAAGTGCAGTATAACCTGAAGGTAAAAGACTTTCTGTGTTCCTCAATGAACTCCCAAGAAAATAATTTCACTTTAACTGAGTAGTAAAATTACCAAACATTGATTATTTACAGCAATCTATGTTTATCTAAAAAAAAAAAGATAATACTATGCATTCCCTTTAATATTAAATTGAAGCTGTTGGGAACAGTAATTTCTCTTTGCCACCAATGCTGAGGCTTTTTCCAGCTAAAAAACAGGCTTCCTAGGTACATGGCTGGTAATATGCAGCATGCATAGTGCTCTCTGGTAACTCTTATGGCAATCTCTCAAGTAATATGTGGCACTAAGGTACCCTGTAGTTTATTTATTTAATTTATTTATTACGGGTGTCTATATTAGCCCCCTATCAGCCCCTGCACTCAAGTAGTTTATAATCTAAGGTCCCTAATTCACATTCATGTATTCACATACCAGGGCCAATTTTTAGACAGGAGTCAGTTAACCTACCAGCATGTCCTTGTAGTGTGGAAGGAAACCAGAGTACCCGGAGGAAAACCACGCAGACACAAGGAGAACATGCAAACTCTTACAAAACTTGTGCCAGTACTGTGCAGCTGTCTTGGGCAATGACTTTGGTAAGCAGCTATCATTGGCATTACAGTGACATTCTCTGATTACAGCACTCTTGTATCATGGCTGCACTGACTGATAACAGACTTGACCACCCACCAGTAACTATTTGTACTTGTAATTCACACTGTGTAGCATTGTAGAAATACATGCACCACAAGGCATTTTTTTCATGTTATGTTGTGCTGTATTGCCACAGCCTTTTTATTTTGAATGGGCCCCAATGCAAGAAACATTGCTTGATGAGCTGTAGCACTGATACATGCGTTGCAACTGAAATACAGTGATGGGAATGGTCCTTTTTAGGAGATGTACAGCAGTGCAGTTTTTATTTTTTTTGGTACCACTTTCTTTATTATTATGTGGTTACGGAGTCCCTTCCGTCATATTTGTCAATATTAGCATCTTAGGGATGGGAGAGATTGAAGCTCTAAATGCTAGGAGGGTTCCCTAATTCCCTACTGAATGGGATACCCTTGCAAGTCAGGGGAAGGCAAAGATAAAGATGGTGCCAACTTTAGATGACAAGTGAGTGAAGAAATGAAATTTTCAGGAAATATAGAATTTAGAGTGGAATTCTTTGATTACTGTATTTTTAGTCTGGAACATTTTCTGCTAACCTGTCATTGCCTGTTTCTATTTCAGCTTAAAACAAAATTGTTCTATACCATTCACAACTGTGACAACACATGCCATGCAGTACATTCTTTCACACAAAATTCTGTGAATTATATGTTTGCCTTTATATACAGAGGATATCTTAGTGGGGGAGGGGAGGCTTAGAATTTTGCCTCTGGCAGTAAAAATCGATACAAACCGCCTGGGGTCAGCAGTTAGTTGCTGAACATTTTCATGCTGGCAAGTTTCTAATGTGGAAAGTTCTGAAGAGCAAAGCACTGGCGTATTACCTCTTTTTAATGAAAGAATGAAGAACAAAGCTTTGTTAATCCCTGAAGCACCAGAGTTGTGGTATAGCTTGATGGCCAGGGCATGTAGCATGGTTTATGCATTGTGTTGATTTATGTGTGAACGACTTTCAGACACCTGATCCTAGCATAATAAATATTGGCATGCTTTTTATTCATATATAGACCTTTTTCCTGGAACTAAAACTCCAGAACTTAGTAAATTAGGCGAAGCTTCAATTTGCAAAGAATACCTAATCATATTACTGTATACATGTTAGTGGCGTGAGTTTTGTAAGAGTTTGTATGTTCTCCTTGTGCATGTGTGGGTTTCCTCCGGGTATTTCGGTTTCCGCCCACACTCCAAAGACATGCTGGTAGGTAAACTGCTTCCTGTCTAAATGGGCCCTGGTATTGTGTATACATGAGTGAGAGTTAGGGACCTTAGACTGTAAGCTCCTTTGAGGCAGGACCTGATGTGAATGTGCAATATATATGTAAAGCACTGCATAAATTGTGGGCGTTGCATAAACACCTATATAAAAAGTCAAAACTTTATGGACCTAGACTTTTCAAGTTAGAATCTGGATCTTACCAAAGAGCCGGCAAGCAACTGTTTATTAGTGTGGACAAAACAATAAGGAAAAGATATATGGTTTCGTTGGTATGGTGAGCCACCAACCAAAAGAACTCTGAGATCCAAAATAACAATTCAGCCAATGCACCTCTGTCCAGTATTCAAAACGTTTGTAAATTAGGGCAGGAGTTTAAAACAGCAAATATCTGCTCTGAAACATTTGCATGAGCATGCTAAATATTCAAATACA